CCATGGCAGCCCTCCCTCCCCAATTGGGTAGACTTCAACTCCCAGAATTCCCCACCCCAAAGTTGAAAATGCGTGGATCAATTGCCAGAATTCCCCAGCCAGCATTATTTCCCCCCAAAATCATCCCCAGCATAACTAGCTGGGGAATTCTGGCAATTGATCCACGCATTTTCAACTTTGGGGTGGGGAATTCTGGGAGTTGAAGTCTACCCAATTGGGGAGGGAGGGCTGCCATGGGTTGTGTGGGGGGGTGAAGAATGGGCGCATTTAATTAATCAAAGAGAGAAGCAACCTGAATTAAGGAGAAACTTCCTAGCAATGTACCCTCACCACCCTCCAGACCTTCCGCACAGCCCTCAAAATCTGGCTATCCCGTCAGGCCTGGGGTTAAGATTGTAATCTGTCCCCACCCGAATGATGAATGTTGTGCTCTATTTTAATTTTTTATTTTAATTTATGTATTGTTCTTGTATTCCCTTCCCCATGAATTGTAAGCCGCCCTGAGTCCCCCCAGGGAAAAGGGCGGCCTATAAATAAACTTTCCAATTTCCAATTTCCAATGACTAATACTTGCATGAAAGGATAAGAAAGGATGCTTTCCCCTGAATCTTATGAGATTTCAGCATTGTTACATGAGAGATCAACCAAGAGAGAACTTGCAAAAGTTCTGGCATCTATTTTTGGGGGTGGGTGCCTGGACTATATCTTGATAATGCTAGAAACTTGCTCTGCCCTGTTCTGTATGTAGTGCTGCTTGCTATCTCGCACAACTAATAAACCCACTTGCTAAAAGCCAGTTTATTTCAATAAAGACTTGATCTGTTGAAGTTTCAGCATATTTATTCTGCCCAGCTTTGTCTGCTAACAGGATCATGCACTTAAAAAGATTCTGCATTCAAAAACCTGTTTGGTTCCAGCTGCTAGTGTCATACAGGAGAAGATCTGCTAGAAAATTGGAAAAGGTGCAAATTGGTTTGATGGAATGGAGAGGAGCTTAGCTTCCCTCCCTCCACTGCTCAAAACCCACACTGCTTGACATCACGGATGAATTGCTAGCAGATGTTTTTTCTGCTATACTCAGCTGGATCTGAATCAAAGTTTTTATGAACATTTTTAATGAACATTTGAACTTTAGTTCAGTCACTCCTAGATAATTAGAGTAGGTTCATAAGATTGTAAAACAGTCACCTTCAACCCAGGAGTCCTCCCAAGCTGGATGTCACTGCCAAGAATTCTAGTGGAATTGAAGTCCACATTACAGGAGGACAACAGTTAGGAAGGGCTGATGGAAGGAGGACTATAGATAGTAGTGAAAAACTCAAAGAAAGAAAAAGAAAGAAAACCTGGCTATGAATAGCCTGGAGAAGAGAATGGGACATTAATATCCATCACAAAGAACATGTTTTTTTTCCATAGGACCAGCTACCTAAAAATTGCCTTCCAATGTGAAGATCTTGCTTCATCTGCAAAAGGATGAAAATGTCTCCCCAATAAGACTGCAAGCCTATGAAGGGGCACATCATAAAAACTGTTTCTTGAAAAACTGGGATTGCTGTCTTCTTTCGAAGACCTAATATTGTCATAGTAAGGTCCTTCTGAGATTAACAGACAATTAGAGTTGGAAGGGACCTTGGAGGTCAACTAGTCCAATCCCCTGATCAAGGAAAAAATGGTTGTCCAATCTTTCTTCTCCTTCTCCTTCTCCTTCTCCTTCTCCTTCTCCTTCTCCTTCTCCTTCTCCTTCTCCTTCTCCTTCTCCTTC